ATTCCCTCCACTTTCCTATTTCCTTCCCTATCTTCTGCTCTGATCCTACTGGTTTATGCCCATGGCATCTTGTGCTTTCATCTTATATCTGGTGTCCTATAATTTTCCATGAGGAGCTCTGGTAGTGTAGTGCCTAAGGCACTTGACTACTAACCAGGAGGCTGGTGGTTCAAACCCTCCAGCCACTCCTCGGAAGGAAGGCTGGGCAATCTACTTCTGTAGCGATACCACCTCAAAAACCAAGGAGGGGTCGCTATGAGTCAGGTCCGACTTGATGGCACATAACAACAACAACAACATAATTTTCCATTTACATGCCAGCATCCCCAAGATCAGGAGCTACCTGACACTAGGGACCAGGGGTCATTCATCCCAGAATTCATAGAAGCTGACCTATGATAGGAGCTCACTGTTAGTTGCATGAATGATCTAAACTGTGAGCAGAACTATGTCTCATGCATCCTTGTAGTCACTGACTCTAGGCAGGAATTGAATTATGCCCATATGTGTATAAGACAGGGAAGTAACCTACCTCAGTGATATCCCATTCAGTTTTCCAGTCCCTTTCCTTCCAGATCTGTTGTGATTTTTTTTGAAGAGCCAGATGCAGTTCCCATGAAAGGCTAGGTCTTGGGGGCAAGGAGAGGGGTACTGGTACCAAATTATTCATATGCACCACATTAGCGAACCTTGACTGGCAACCTTTAAACATGTACAGACACCCATTTCACAGAGCTCCAGTGTGAGAAAGGCCCTCATTTGAGACTTCTGAGTGAAGACAGTGACGTACAGAAAATATACCACAATCACTCCCATTTCCTATAGTCCCAAAGGACCCTGTGTTTCTTGTCTTCTTAGAAATCATTCTGTAGCATTTCATTTGTCTCCTTTACTGCTGGGGACTTTAGATCCCCAGCGACTGAGTAGGGGCTCAGTAAATATCTATAGACATACTGGTCCTATCTGTCATTGTTTCCCTTCCCAGAGGCCCTACTGTGTGGACAGTGACTACTTGGCAGTTCCTCCCTCCCCCCACCAGCTGACTGGAACAGGCATGGATAACTAGCCAGAAAGAGGTGACTTCTGAGGCCCGGTTTAAAGGATTATCTGGGTGGAATTTTATATTAAGACAGACTTGAGGGGTCAGGAGGAAGTTAAAAGGTCACTAGATAGTAGAGCTGAGCCTGACACTTTTAGTCATATGCTAATTTAATTGTAAACAAAGGAGGGGATGGGGGAAAAACAAAACAAAACAAAAAGCAGAAACAGAAGCCCATATAGTAGTGGTGACAGTAGCAAGAGGTGAGGGATGAGGGCAGAGGGAGGGGGAAAACACACATGCATCCTTAACTCCCGGTAGTTCCCTATTACCATGAAGTCTGCATGGATTCCATTTCAAGTCAAGAAAAAAATAATTCTCAAATATTATAGAAACTACAGTTCTACCTGAGACAGGACACTGAAGCAAAGGGTTTGGGCTAAACAAGAAGACATGTTATTTGTCCCTTCTCTCCCAGACTCACTATATTATGAATACTCTTTCCAGGTATTTCTCAAATGAACAGTCTTTTCCTCCATTCCAAGCGTGGAGGATTAAGGAGAACAGGGTATATCATTAACACTCAACTACTTCTTCGCCTTTCTGCCACACCCACCCACCCACACCTCTTGATTCAGTATGCGCAGCCTGCCCTACTTGAATACACTCAATATAAACTGATGAAGGAAGAACAAGCAAAGTAGAGAAAGAAACAGTGAACTGATTATAGCTTCTGAACCTTAGATTTTTAATAACCTCTCCTTATACTCAATTCCTCCATACCATATTTCTCTTTTGTTCCAAAGAATTCCCCATCTACTCTTCTATAGTCCCTTAATTGTTTCATACTTGCCATCATTTGGGAGCTCTAGTAGCATAGTGGCTAAGCCACTTGACTGCTAACCAGAAGGCTGGAGGTTCAAACCCACCAGACACTCCTTGGAAGGAAGGTTGGGCAATCTACTTCTGTAGTGATGCCGCCTTGGAAACCCAAGGAGGGGTTGCCATGAGTCAGGGCTGACTCGACGGCATGTTACAACAGAGATCACATGGGAGCTCTGGTGACATAGTGCCTAAGGCATTTGACTGCCAACCAGAAGGCTGGCAGTTCAAACCCACCAGCCACTCCTTGGAAAGAAGACTGGGCAAACGTACTTCCATAGAGATACTGCCTCAGAAACCCAAGGAGGGGTCACTATGAGTTGGAATCAACTTGACAGCATTGAATTTGGTGTTTTGGTTTTTTAGGGATCACATAGCCCAGAGAGAGTGAATTGCCCAAGGTCCCCAAACTGAGTCCATTAAGAACTTCCTCCACTGCTTCCCACAAATGTTTATTCTGTACCCATATTTTGATTTCTACAGCATCCACCTATACTCTGAATTTTGTTCTCCTCCTCTGAACTAATATCCACTTCTTTCTTGCATCTTCAGATTCTCTGACTTGTCTCCTTTTCAATTATAAACATGGTAAATTTTCTACCTTAAAACGCTCTGTCTGGCAGACTACCACTTGGCTAAAACACCATTCTCAAACCCCTTTTTCTTTGCCTAGGTACATTGTAGAGGCTGGGAGAACTAAATACTATTTTCTCAGCCTCCCTTGCTGCTGACGATAGCCATGTAAATTAATTAGGCCAATGAGATGTAAAAAGAAGTCTGCTAAGGGCTTTCTGGGAAATTTTTTTTTCTAATAAGTGGCCCAGATGTGCCAGTACTATCCACCCTCATTCCTGCCTCAAATACTGATGTTTTACTTGCAGCTATAGCAGTCATTATGTAACCATGATGGCAAAGCCACGATATTAAAAATATTTATATGATCTTATTTCTGAACCAAGGAGCTCTGGTAGCGTAGTGCCTAAGGCACTTGACTGCAGTTCAAACTCACCAGCCACTCCTCGGAAGGAAGGTTGGACAATCTACTTCTGTAGTGATACCGCCTCGGAAACCCAAGGAGGGGTCACTATGAGTTGGGTTCAACTTGACGGCACCCAACATTTCTGAACCAATGCTAACAATCCCTAGACTTGTTATATAAGAAAACTGCTTAAGCCATTGTTAACTAGGCTTTCTATTATTTGTAGCTTAAAGTTCAGCCTTATAATCCCTCTCTAAGTCCCATCTATTTTTCTAAATCTCTTCTTTCTCAATGAAGCTACTAAGTCCTTTTCCACCTTTAATTCAGTCTTCAACCCAATGAAATTTACAGAGATTATCAATAAAAAAAGGACATATTTCTATATTTTATTTAACCTCTCCATAGTATTTGGCAATATTAATTATTCTCATTACTGTGTTAAAATTCTTTCTTACACTTAAATGATGCTACCTTCTGATTTTTCTATTTTTTGACTATTTGCTGTCCGCTTGTGATTACTTTTCCTGCACTTACTCCATCCAGAGGGTACCACTGATGCTCCTTTAATATTTACCTTCTACTTATTCTACTTCCTACAGGAATCTTTGCATGTATGTATCACAGACTCATCTAAATGCCCTAAAACTGAACTAATCATTGCCACATGAAGATGGGGAATTTTCTCTTTTCATTATGATCCCATTGTCTACTCAAGTCAGAAATTCAAGACATTCTAGACTCTTTCTCACCAAACTACCTATATTTAGCCAGTTACCAAGTTATATACATACTGACTTATTATCATCTGAATTATTTTTTTCCTGACCCATCCTATTTTCATATTTTAGCCCTTGAGTACAGAAAATATATCTTCATTTCTATATTTCTAATGCATAACTTCCTGTCTAGCACATATTTAGCATTCAGTATATGTGTATGAAAATATATTACCTACTATCATAACTATAAAACTACTTGTAAAACCTTCAAAATTGCCGTATTGTATTTGAATGTTTTGAGTGCAAAGATTTGTTAAGTTAAATTTCTGTGTCTCTTAGTGTTCAGCCTCTCTCTTCTCCTTTCCACTTTCAGAGTGAAAATATAATGTGAAGATATGTATTTATTTGATTCCCACACATGTAAAAGCTATATTTTTAATACTATTTTTTAAAATAATAACCATCTTATTTAACAGTTTAATGACTGTCAATTGAGAACTCAAAACAGCACACTATCTCATTAAGATCTATGCAATTATTCCATCATTTGATAGTCTATATTTTAGGGGAGAAGATAATAATACTGGGGAAGTGGAAGAGGGGGAATGGGGTCAGTAGAGAGAGAGAGAGAATTTTGACTGAAACATCCAAGGAAACCAGACTAAAAGCACCTAGACAATAACATGATAAAAGATCAAGGATTTCCTAGCATTCACTATATTTATAAATTTGTAGCATTTTAGAGCTGATAGAGACTTTGGGGACCTTCTAAATCTAAAATCCTTCATGTACCAGATGAAGAAACTGAGACAAGAATAAACCAAAAAAACCAAACTCACTGCTGTCAAGTTGGATCCGACTCATAGCGACCCCTCCTTGGGTTTCTGAGGTGGTACCACTATGGAAGTAGATCGTCCAATCTTCGTTGGGAGGCGTGGGTGGTGGGTTTGAACCGCCAGCCTTCTGGTTAGCAGTCAAATGACTTAGGCACTACGCTACCAGAGCTCCCAAGACAAGAGTAGATGTTCAAAATAGTGGCAGATTAAGGACTAGATCCCAGGTTTTGACTGTCAAGATAAGCACTCTAACATATTTTTGTCCATTGTGAAGTCTTTGATATTCAAAATAGAAGAAATTAAACCTAAACATTTCTGCAATATGATACAATAATAGAACTTTAAATACAGCATGAATCCTCTTTGTTTATATATGAGCTACTTAAGTCTTCTGTTCTATAGTAAGTTTTACCATTTCTCTCCATTTTTGTATGGTTTCTCTCTATATTGTCTGATATTTACTTTAACAAAAAAATTTCCACAATCATTACATTTATTAGGCCTGTACATGATATGACTTATCTGGTTGTTACTGAAGAGTTAATTCATGGTGAAGGTTTTTCAAATTCATTCCAAAGGCACAGTTTTCTCATGTATGAGTTCTTTGATGTCATGTAAGGTTCAGTACTCTGACTGAAAGCTTTTTCACATTCATTACACTGATAGGGTTTCTCTTCTGTATGAGTTCTCTGATGCACTATTAGGGATGAATTTTTAATGAAGGCTTTTCCACACTGATCACATTCATAGGGTTTCTCACCAGAATGAATTCTTTGATGCTCAATAAGATATGCACTCTGGTTGAAGGCTTTTCCACATATATTGCATTCATAAGGTTTCTCTCCAGTATGAACAACCTGATGTACAGTTAAGGATGATCGACCAGTGAAATATTTCCCACATACCATACACTCATAAGGTTTCTCTCCAGTGTGAATTCTACGATGTTGAATAAGAGATGAATTCTTACTGAAAGCTTTTCCACACTGGTTACATTCAATGGTTTTAACCCAGAATGAAGTGTCTGATGTTCTATAAGGTAGGTACTTTGGCTAAAGGATTTCCCACATTTGTTACATTTGTAGGGCTTCTCTCCAGTGTGATTTCACTGATGCAAGGTAAGAGTTGAGCTCTTACTAAAGGCTTTTCCACATTCACTACACTCACAGGGTTTCTCTCCAGTATGACTTCTCTGATGTACAATAAGATGCATGCTTTGACTGAAGGCTTTTCCACATTCATTACATTCATAGGGCTTTTCTCCTGTATGAGTTCTCTGATGCACTGTAAGATTCATACTTTGGGTGAAGCTTTCCCACATTCGTTACATTTGTAAGGCTTCTCTCCAGTATGAATCCTTTCATGTTGAATTAGGGATGAATTCTTATGGAAGGTTTTTCCACATTCTGTACACTGATAGGGTTTCTCTCCAGTATGAGTTCTTTGATGAACAGTAAAGTTCATGCTCTGACTGAAGCCTTTTCCACATCCATTACACTTGTAGGGTTTCTACCCAGTATGAATACTTTGATATACAGTAAGGAAGGAATGTTCAATGAAGTGCTTTCCACACACATTACACTTATGTGGTTTCTCACCAGTATGAATTCTCTGGTGCTTAAACAGTGATGAACTCTGGCTGAAAGCTTTCCCACATTCATTACACTCATAGAGTTTCTTCACTAGAAACATTCTCTGAGTTTTAAATAATTCAGAATTTTGTTTGGCATCTTTCCCATGCAAATTCCAATTGTGCGATGTCTTTTCCATAGGAATACTCTGTTGTGTATCAAGGATTGAACATTGACTCAAACATCTTTCAAATTCATTACCTCCACAGACCCTCATGTCAGAGAAGATTACCTTATGAGTAACAGTCACTTGGCCCAGATGTCTATCTAGGCTTTTTGGTTGCTATTCTAACCAATTATGAGGTTTCCAGGTTTTCCCTAAAGTAGAATGACAGAGACCTTCCCTTTCCATTATTGTCCCATGGGAAAAATCTTCAGTAATGTCGGGCTTTAGAGTTGATTCTTTGGTTTCAAGTCTTCTGTCCCAGTCTGAAAAAAAAAATGAAAAAAATATATATTTTTTTCAATACACACTGGTTTCTGTGCTGCAAGACTGAAAACTGTATAAGATAGGAATTAGAAACAAACTGAGAATAACGACAGGGCACATTTGAGGGCTTTCAAAGACAACCCTACAAAGGAAGAGAAATTGGAAGGAAAGGATAGCATAGTGAACCTGCCTATTAGGTAACAGGGAAACTAGAAGCAGGGAGTACTAGATCCAGCATGTATACAGAGAAAACAAAGAGCCCATTCAGGAAGAATGGACTGAAATCAGTGACCATGGAGGTAAGCTAAATAATGAAGATGGAAAATATACAGAAGATCTGGGTTTGGGACAGGCAGATCAGAAAGTTTTGCCATGCACCTGGTGTTCCTACTAGAAGTTTCCACCAAGGCTCCCAGTAACTATGACACTAAATTAATCTTCCTAAAACATCATGGTATAGCACAGTGAAAGCAATATTGACCCTAGAGTCAGACTTGGGATTGAATCCAGACTTTAACACATAATGACCTGAACTAGTTACTTGTTTCTCTGGGTTCAAGCTTTCACATTTGTAAAATAAAGGTAATAATCTGATAAAGGTTAAGATAATGTAAATAAATTACCCTTTGAAAACATACTTGTTTGGACCATGCAATACCAGAATATACTTGGTACTTTAAGAAAAATTATTATGTCTACATTTCAGCTTGTCTTCCCTTCCTCCATCACTTGCAGTCAACAAGCTCAAGTCTGTTTAGCTGCAGTCATTCCGGCACATAGCCTACAACATGCATTGTAGTATAAAGAGAAGAAGTTCAGTTTCTGAAGTCAACCTGGGTTTATTTCCTAGTTTTTGTATTTACTAGCTACTTTGAGCAAGTTAATTAACATCTCTCAACCTATTTCTTCATCTTTATAAAGAGGAAAATAATGATTGCTGTGGAACATAAATGTAAATGCATGTAAGGACTTAACATGAGGGCATGTATATGATAAGCGTTCAATAAATATAAGGTTTATAATTATAGGGTTTATGGGCTCAGGCCCATCCACAGTCATCAGGCACAATAAAAGAGGTTTATGATCCTATTTTAGCTATGTAGTGCTGCTATAACAGAAATGCCACAAGTAGATGACGTTCACAAAAAATTTATTTTCTCACAGTTTAGGAGGCTAGAAGTCCAAATTCAGAGTGCTGGCTCTAGGGGAAAGTTTCTTTCTCTGTTGAGTCTGGAGGAAGGTTCTTTTATCTTCAGCTTTTGCTTCCTGGTTCCTTGGAGATCTCCATGTGTCTTGGCATCAATCTTCCCTTAGATCTAGGAGGTTCTCAGCACAGGAACCCCAGGTCTGAAAGACATGCTCTGCTCCCAGCCATTTTTTCTTGGTGGTAATGAGGTCCCTCCCTCTCTGCTCACTTCTCTCTCCTCTTACCTCTTGTAAGATAAAAGGTGTTGAGTCAAGCAAGGGTGTTACTTCAGTAAGGCAGTGAAAGGTGGTAATTTAAGTACAGTGGTACACCCTATCCTAATCCTGTCTCATAGAATTTATAACACATACAATGGAGAATACTTAGGTAAGATTACAAAATGGAAGATGATTGCATCATTACATAACTGAAGATCATGGCCTAGCCAAGTTCTTACATATGTTTGGGGAACACAGTTCAATCCATGACAGATTCCTTACCCAAGAATCAGTGTGACTTCAAATCCTTCTATGATCTGGTCACTAAGATCTATAGCCTGACCTAGTTGTTCCCAAATATTTACCTCCGTGTTTGCTCCATCGGTCTTTGTGAACTAGCTCTGATTTCCCTAACTATACAGTTTGCAATCTTAAATTTTCTGTACAATTGTCAACTCTCTTCTAGTCCTTGCCTATAGAAGGTAAACATTTTCCATACTCTCATCAAAGCATTATTCCTTGTGATCAAAATCTTGCAAAGATTCCAATATCACTATAAACACAGTTTTCAAATATACTACTTTCTATCAATATTATTCACCAACAAAGAAGCCCTGTTACGATTAGGTCATCCTCCCAAATATCCCCCTAATCTCCTTTGTTGAGTCGTTGTTGTTGTTGTTATGTGCTGTCAAGATGGATCTGACTCATAGCGACCCCTCCTTGGGTTTCTGAGGCGCTATCACTATGGAAGTAGATTGCCCAACCTTCCTACTGAGGAGTGGCTAGTGAGTTTAAACCACCTTCTGGTTTGCAGTCAAGTGCCTTTGTTGAGTATCAAAGGTTAAAATTTCAGAGGCAAGCTCAACCCATATAATTTCTAAGAATGTTTTTAAGTACCGATCATTAAGTTCCCCTTCTCTGAATATCTGAAAGACAGTAATACATCACACACACACAAAAAAAGGAAAAACAAACCCACTACTGTTGAGTTAATTTTGACTCTTAGCAACCGTATAAGACAGAATAGAACTGCCCTGTAGGATTTCCAAGGAGCTCTAGTAGTGTAGTGCCTAAGGCATTTGACTGCTAACCAGAAGGTTGGAGGTTCAAACCCACCAGCCACTCCTCAGAAGGAAGGCAGTGCAATTTACTTCCAAGGAGGGGTCACTATGACTCAATGGCAGTGAGTTTGATTTGGTTTATAGGGTTTCCAAGGCTGTAAACCTTACAGAAAAGATTGCCACAGCTTTCTCCTATGACGTGTCTGGTGGGTTCAAACTGCCAACCTTTTGGTTAGTAGCTGTGATAGTTGAAGATGTGTCAACTTGGCTGGACTCCAGTTGTGAGTGGTGGTTCCCATGATGGATCACATGACTGAGTTCTAAGCGGCTGGTCTGCCCAAGGGGAGTTTCCCCAGGGGTGTGGCCTACCTGCAATGCTATCCCAAGAACAAGCTGGAAGAACGGCATTCCGGACTATATACTTCCTGGAGCGAGCAGCTCGCTGCTCGCCCTGGACGTTTTCGGATTCATTCTTTGTTGGGAACAGCGACCAGCGCGCTGCGTGTCAGCTTGATTCTCTCGGCTCTGTTGTGCTTACGGGAACCAGGCGGCTCCGGGCCTCATCCCCCTCCAGAGACGAACTTTGTGGCTTGAACTCCTCTGCCGTGCGTGCGAAAGCCAGACGGCTCCGGGCCCCATCCCCCTCCAGAGACGAACTTTTCAGCTTGAACTTGTCGGCTTCTACACGCTTGTGAGCCATTTATCTAAGATAAATTTCTCTCTCTCTCTCTTTCTCTCTCTATAAATATATATATACACTTTGCTGGTTTTTGTGTTTCTCTAGAGAACCCAATCCAACACAGTAGCTGAGCACTTAACCAGTGTAACATCATATATAAAACCTTGTTTAGTCCTCAAGATAATCCTGTGAGGTTGGTAGTATTAACTCTTTTTAAATATGAGGACACTAGGGCTTAGCAAAGTGAATCTGCCACAGGACATAAAATTCACAGTGGCAGAACCAGAATGAAACTCACAGCTGATGATACTTCTTTTACTAAACTATTACGTTTCTTTAGCACTGAAATAATATACAGATTTGCAGCATTGTAATTCACCCAAATATAAGTATAAATTGCTCAATATTTCATAGTGCCTAAGGCATTTGACTGCTAACCAGAAGGCTTACGGTTCCAACCCACCAGCCACTCCTTGGAAGGAAGGTTGGGCAATCTACTTCAGTAGTGATACCACCTCAGAAACCCAAGGAGGGGTTGGTACGAGTCGAAATTGACTTGATGGCAGTGATTTTCTTTTTTTTTTTTAATCTTAACTTCATTACATTTCTTTAACAAAAGGATAATTTCAGTTAATGGACTTGAAAAAAATAAATGTATTATTACAAAAGCAACTTGTGCATGGTTAACAACTTTACACCAAAAACCAAACTCACAACTTTAGTCAACATAAAGTATTATAAAGTGAAAAATAGAGGGACCTCTCCACTTTGGGCAATCTACTTCCGTAGTGATACTGTCTCAGCAACCCAAGGAGGGGTTGCTATGAGTCGGGGCCGACTCGATGGCACATAATAACAACAACAACAACAACTCCACTTTCCAGTGCCCAAAAGAAAACACTTTTAAGTTTCCTATATATCATTCTGAAAAATTTCTGTGCAAAGTATTTAAACACTTATCTCACACAAGCTCACATACTTATAAAATCTCATACAATCTCACAGATTTGTTTTTAAAACATAATTTTATAAGTCCATTTTTAAAAACCACAATTGGAATTATTTTAGGCCTACTTCACGGAACCCTGGTGGCACAATGGTTCAAATGCTTGGGTGCTAACTGAAAAGTTGGCAGATTGAACCCACCAGCAGCTCCATGGAAGAAAACACCTGGTGATATGCTCCTACAAAGATTTATGTTGTAGTAAACCCTATGAAGGAAGTTCTCCTCTGTCCTACAGAGTTGCCATGAACTGGAATTTACTTAACAGTACACAACAATATTCTGGAGAAGGCAGTGGTAATTCAGTGGTAGAATTATTGCCTTCCATGCAGGATAACAGCACAATTCCTGGACAATGCTCCTGAAGTCACCACTTGTCTGTCAAATGGAGTCTTGTGTGTTACTATGATACAGAACCAGTTTCAGCAGAGCTTCCAGACTAAGAAGAGTAGGAAGAAAGGCTTGATGATCCACATCCAATACCTACTAATGAAAATACCATGAACCACAATGGATGGCAGCTAATTACAACTCCTGGCATTTCCTTTTTAAACATTAT